TTGTCACATTGCAATTATCTTTGCCACCAGAGGGCGCAACTAAAATGTGGAATACAAGTTTTCTTCCTTTACATGGTCAGGGGTCGTGTCCTGTCTGAGAAGAGAAGAGCACATTGTGAGCTGAGATGAGTGCCAATAAACCATTTTGCACAACCAAAGGAAAAAAAAAATTAAAATAAGCTTCTTCCAGATAAAAATCCTAGCAGTGATACATGTGAACTTGTTAGAGGAGAGATTAAGGCATCCTGTCATACCTCAGTCACTGTTCTGTTTTAAGATAACTTTAAACTAGAGCTAGAATTAGCAGACATGGTTGTTTGGGGGAACATGTCTCAGTCATTTTAGGGTTAGTTGTCACATGTTTAAAAGGGATTAAAATTAACATAGAGAGTCTGCTTATCAGCAGTTAACATACAGAAATTTTGACTGTACTTTTACAGAAAAAAGAGTGGTTTAAAGGAGCGGAGAAAGCGAGAAGACATGGTCAGGAATTAAGAAAGAAAAACTGAACATGGCAGTGCAGTGCCTGATGTGATGCTGAGGGAAGTCAGGCAGGTGACCCTAGCTAATAAATCAATCTGGAGTACAATAGAGGACTTTAATGTCAACTACCATACTTTGGCTCAGTACTGCAAAATTCACCCCAGCCGAACTACAGAGTCAGACAACTCTCCAAACTCCAGAGCATGTTGCATAATATTTTATGCTAACATTTGCTCAATGACTTTTTCTAGCTCAGTAATAAACATTTTCAGTGCCTGACTTTGATGTTCACTTTCAACTAAAAAAATTAGAACAACAGTAATTTTGTCCTTGTCTTATTAGCTGCAAAATCCACTCTGACATCTTACCCCTTATAGTGAGAGAACTTACCCGGTGGTGGGGCAACATGTCACACGTTCACACTCTCTATTTGATTGCTTATAACTCTGCACTGACACATGATATAAAAATGACATGAGTACGAAATATATACCTGAGACTTTGGTCTTTCATCTGGTACACCTTTTGTTTATATATGGTGTACTGATTCCAAGAAATATATGAGTGTAAAATAAGGTGACCAATTGTCCCCGGATTTCATAACAGAAATCTGGTCACCTTAGTGTAAAAAGTGTGACAACAAGTCTCCCCTACCTGCCTAAAGTATCTCAGTGCTGATATTGAAACGATACCATGACAAAACCCAAAACTTTGTAAAACTAATGAAATAAAAGATGACATAAGGTGAAGGAGCTTTAGTGAGTCATTGTTGTGACAGCTTCTTTGATGCACTGTAGTGCTGTAGTGAGCAGGTTCTGAATCCAGCCAGATTTACAGTTAACATAAATATTGATGTATTTATTTTCATACTTTGTGACCCAATTGTTTAGCCGGTGCTGTTTATACACTGAATTGACACATTTGTAACATTATAAATCAGACTTTATTTTTTAAGTATACTTGACTTCGGGTGGCCTATTTCATAGTTAATGTCATATGTACACTGTTATATTCATAATTAGGTTTCACCTTGTTAAACTACATCATGATTCCATGCAGCTCTGTAGCTGGGGGCTGCGTGTGCTCTCCTCAGCTCATCTATTAATGATATAGATTAAGCCATCTCTCCAGATGAACATCATTATTTGATTGCACAATTAAACATATTAAGCAATTTTCACTGTATAAGCATGGCTCATATTATTTCGTCCCTTAATAAGTGAAAACATGCATGTTGTTCTGGAAAGGCCACCATATAAATGAAGATTTTTGTCCGTGTCAATCAAAGAACAAGGTTTTTTTTTCCCCAAGGGAGTGATGAATTCCACAAATGCAACCAAAAGATATATCTTTAAACATAGTAGTATATATATATAACCTACTATGTTTGAAGGCATGTCTGTCACATTTGCTAACCTGTAGCTCTTTGTATTCTTAGGGAAAAAAAAACATGGCTGTCCACCATCCACAATTGTTCTATTAGACATCTTTCCTCTCTTGGTCTGCATGGGCTGGTGGCAGGCTTGACACACAGCTTTGAGTTGTCTAAACAAATGAAAAAGCTTCATATTTTGCTCCGTGCACCCTCTTTTTCAACGAGCTGTGGCCGGTCTGCAGAAGCACTTCTCTCAGCCATGTCTCAATTCAGGGTCTGCACACTAGTGGAGTGGATTTGAAGCGTGCGTGAGGTCATCATGCAGCGCTAAGTGTGTTCCGTTTCGCACGCGATTCTGAGTGCGCTTATAAAACAATCCTAAAAACAAAAAAGAAAAATGTCCTGCCCCTGCCCCTTTTGCAAGCGTACATCCGTGCAAACTTGGTGGCCCTGGAATCCCAAGATTTCTTTGCGTGCTGCTGCACAGCTGCGCATTTCGGGTGAGACATTAGACTCGCTTTTAGGCGCAGCCTCCCTTCAAAGAAAATAAAGAAAATCCAGAAACACTAGACAGTCAGCTCAGGCTCTGTGAACGCATGAACTTTTTTCTCACTCAAATATGCAGCTGTAAACCAAACATTATACTCTTTAGAGAAGAACTGATCTGCTCTGCTACTTCAATCAAAAACATTAGAAATAAGAAAGCTGCCAGTACCGCAACGAAGTATCAGAGCCACATCAAGAATGTTTTTGTTTTTTTTTTTGTTTTGTTTTTTAGACCCAAAGACTTAAACTCCCCCCAAAAGGGAGGCAAAGGAGGTGCAACTTGTTACTTAATAAACTTAACTAATAAACACAATCATGTCATTATCCATTTCTAGTGATTTTCAGATTTACGATTTATCTATATCAGCAGCCCTGTGACCCAAACTTCTTCAGAGGGGACAACGCCCCATAAACAATTGTTTGTCATGCGTTTCTTCTGATATATTTCCTGTCTTGCATTTTCATTCCTTTAATTCCCATTAATCAAACTGTGCTTTTGTTCTGAAGTGTACTGCTTCTAGTAGATCACAATAAGAGGACTGATTGCAAAGAGGTAAAGAAGTGAAAATGTTCAATTGATTAGTAACCCTGAAGAGGCACAGAGTCTGATGTTGCTGTTGGACTCACATTTAAAAGGGCCTGATTTATTCTAAGTTGGCAGCCATCTACCCTCTGTTTCAAGAGAAAGGACCACTACTACAAACTTATTATACAACTTATAACTACAAAGTTATTACCATGTGCTCAATTGTAGCTTCATATCAATAGTTGTATTAAAAAAAAAAAAAAAGTTAGCATCAATACTTGTGAGCAACTATATTTCTACTACCTTGTAAGACTTTGACTTCAGTCAACAAAACTTCTTTCTTGATTTGGGGAAGATTGTTCTCCATTTAGTGAAATATTTCATCATTTTTGGGGAAAATATGAGAAAGCTGTTCGCCTGCTTTAGTACTGTGTCAAATAACTGTCTGTACTCACAGGGCAGATATATTCCTCTAATGTGAAGCTCAGGCTGGGAAACTCAAATGCTATTACCAAAATGATACTGTTTTATTGGTGTGTCTCAGTCCAACAATGTCTATTTTCAGTCATTTCATCTCTTCATGATTTATCATCATCTGAAATCACTATTTATTCTACAAACCTGGGGGGACATTAGAGCAAATTTTAAGGTGACAGACAAGGTTTTAAAGCCTTTCTTTTGCTGAACATGTTCTGAAAACTTTTGCCTTCGTGCAACACTTGAAAACCTTTTAACATTTATTCTTTTTGCTGGAAAAACATGGGATAGGCATGCATTACTGAACAAAACCTTGTGTTCAAGGTAGCATTATGTCACCTAATGCCACTGACTTTATAAGAAAGTCACGTTGAAACTGCAAGGGAAGGCATGCTTATTTAAGAGGAGTTAAAACAAAACAATAAGACTTCAACGGTGTAAAAAGAAAAAAAAGCATTAAAATCCAAAATATCTACAACATAAGTTTTACTTTAACAGATATATGTGCAAGAGAACAGCCTTTGATAAATAAGCCTTCACAATAAGTAAGTGTGACATTGTTAAACATTATATGACATAATGTTTTCCATTCATGGAAAACATAATGGAAACATGGAAATGCAGCTATAGCTGCTTTCTAACAGCAGTGAATAATATCTCATCAGTACAACAGTAGTTTAGATTTCTGTGCTGAGTGTGACACCAAATAAAAAGGTAGTCATGTGAAAAGGTAGAGGTCAACAGTAGTGTTCATTACACATCCATGAATTGGTGAAGCAAATTTGCAAAGCAAATAATTTGCTTTTTTTTTTAAACCTCATAAAATCAATACACGCTTTCACACTGGCTACAAATTTCTGCAGAGCGAAAAGGCGACTGTAATTTTTCTGCCCCTTCAGCAACTTTTGTGAACATTTGCCGGCGAACTGCTATATAAATTTATAGCCTAATACAAATCTTACCTCACACAGGTGGCAAGCCGTTGCACTGGATTGATCGGCTCTCTGTTATTTCTCCTTCTGCAAATGTGGAGTCAGCTGATGGAGCAGTTCTTGAAATTCTCCAAGGGTCATTCGGAAGTATTGTTGGAAATTCTCGGGATACAATTTAAGCTTCTGTATTGTTGTGTGGAACTCCCCGCATCTCCTGTCACAGGGTCAGTATTGGATGTACCCAGACACTTAGATTCTTCTTGAAAAGGAAAACATCAGGAGTGGTGTGTGCGCATGCTTCATATGGCACCCAGCCATTTCTCTCTCCTGTGACCAACCTTTTAACCCATTTTAACCAGTTTTAAACAACTTTTAAGATTGCATGTTAAGAGTTTGCTGGCTTTTAAGTTGAACTTTTACTGTGTGTGGGTTTTTATTTTTATTTTACTTTATTTTATTTTATCTGTCGTAGCAGAGAAAAAGAGTGCAGGTTCCTGAAAGCCGTCATTTTTATTCAGTGTTAAAATGTTCTGATCGCTTTTAACATTTTGTTCCTTGAGCAAAGGATTACTTTTATCTTTTTGCTTTTACCGGACAAAAGGTTTTAGACATCAGACTCTGGGATTTTATGCACTCTTGCTTAGTCAGGTAAATGGCAGACATGGAGGCTACCACCACAGACGCCTCCTTACCTGCTGAAGTTGGTCAACAACTTAAAAGAGCCCAGGAAAAGATCGCTGATCTTCTGGAGGACATTGTTCGACTCTCAGACAAGCTGCAGAGGAAGGACTCATTCCGGGCCACTTTTAAATCTCGGCTCCCGGCGTTGTCCAGCTGGCTGGAGAGCACACAGACCGGTGAGCTGCCACAGCATAGCAGTGCCGCTGCACTGAGGGACACCATCATCTGGGAGCCTTGCTCCTCCACCTGTCAGCGGCCTTCCAGCTCTACTCCCAACAAAGGGACCCCTTGGTCTGAGGTAGTGGTCCGTAGTCGTAAGAAGGTTCCTGCCAGAACTCCGTGCGGGGTTTCCTCCTCTGTCGGCATCCCCCTCTCCAACAAATATTCGGCTCTGTCCATGACTGTGGAGCCACTGGACCAGGGCCCTGCTGATCCCGAGGTCTCCCTGAGGGATGCTGCGCCCCCGCTGACGGACATCACCCGCGCCGGGCTGTCCAGCGCCGTGCCGTTCGCCTCCGTCCCCCCGTCCCTCAGCCCAGCGGAGGCGGCTCCTCAAGGACGCAGTGCGGTGGCACACTGGACGTCCTCATTCCCGGGCGCCTGACGGGGCGCCTGACGGGTCCACCGAGCCAGCCCCCCCCCTCAGGCAACAGGCCACGACACTAGTCATCGGGGACTCCATCATATGGAATGTCCGTCTGAGGGGAGCGTTCACCCTGTCCTTTCCTGGCGCCACTGTTGCAGACATAACTGAAAAAATCCCAAGCGTCCTGAATTCACATCCACAGGTAAAAAGGGTCATCATACATGTGGGCACCAATGACACCTCCAGACAACAGTCTGAGCTTTTAAAGCGTAATTTTATACAACTTTTTAACAAACTCTCATGGCCCCAGCTGCGCGTTTTTATCTCCGGCCCCACCCCCACCCCCTCCTGCAGCAGAGGTATTGGGCGCTTCAGCAGGCTGCTCAGCCTGAACGCCTGGCTCTCATCAGCCTGCAGTACCCACAATGTCGGCTTTGTTGACAATTTCGATGTTTTTTGGGAGAGGAGACATCTTTTTGGCTCGGATGGTCTTCATCTTAATAGAGCTGGCACCCGTGTGCTGGCCACCAACCTGGCATGTGGTCTACAACACATTCAACTCTCACTTCCCTCCCATTACCCCAAACGTACACCGACTGACCTTTTCGCCACTGATTGATGTCCCCCAGGTCCCAGTTCCTATGATTTTAGTTCCACCTCTGTCACACACAACACTGGACTTGAACCCTTTGTTTTTATTAACCATTCACCCATTCCTGTCATCATCACTCAGCGAGAGACAGCCAGACTCCATCATGTACACTCTTGTGAACTTCAATAACCTTAGATCTCTCCCCAAACATCAACAATCCAATCACACAGTCTGTAAATCACCCGTCAACATTAACATGGCACTTTTAAATATTCGCTCTCTTTTAAACAAATCTTTTATTGTCCACGACCTGATTTTAGACAACAAGGTTGATTGTCTGTTTTTAACTGAAATGTCGCTGGGTACAGACATATATCTTTATGTTTATTTATTATTATATCTGGTGATTTTAATTTACTCATAGACAATCCATCTGATTCAATGGCAAAAGAGTTTTAAATCTACTAAATTGCTTGGCTTTTAGACAACATGTCACACAGCAGACTCACAACAGAGGACACACTTTGGATCTAGTCCTCAGCTATGGCCTAGGAGCCAGTGTGTCCTCTGTTGTTGACCTGGCTGTGTCAGACCAATATTGTGTGTTTTTTAATATCACCAGTTTTATTCAGTGGGAGACCTCGGTGCGAACTGTCAGGAAACACTATTTTACGTCAGAAGTGCAAATTGTATCGAGATCTTGAGCAAGCATCCCTTAGCTACTCTGCATCCTGTGATTTTATTGTTCAACATTTTATCAACAAACTTAAAACCACACTCGACCTTGTAGCTCCACTGTGAGCACGATCCCCTATTTTATCTATTCAAAACACTGTTTCTAATACAGTGAAAAGCTTGTTTTTACCTGAGGATAACACTGGACAGTTTTGCTCTGGTTGATGCTGAGATGCTTGGTAGAGTTTTCTCCCAAGTAAAACCAACAACCTGCCTTTTAGACCCAATTCCCACACCACTTTTTAAATTGTTTTATGGATTCTTTGAAGGTGAGCTTTTGAATATAGTGAATTGTTCTCTTCAGACAGGCTCTTTCCCTGCTGCCCTTAAAACGGCAGGAGTGAGACCCCTTCCGAAAAAGAACAATTTGGATCCTAATGTTCTTAATAACTACAGACCAGTGTCCAACTTCCCATTTTTAGGTAAATTTTTAGAAAAAGTTGTTTTTATTTTTTTTCAGTTGAATGATTTTTTAAATAACCATTCCATCCTGGAGAAATTTCAATCTGGATTTAGGACGAACCACAGTACGGAGACTGCTCTACTGAAAATTGTCAATGATCTTAGGTGCAACTTAGACTCACACAAGCTTACACTCCTTGTGCTACTGGATCTAAATGCTGCTTTTGATACAGTCGATCACACAATTCTTTTAAATAGACTTAGGCACCTTGTTGGCCTCTCTGGTACTGCTTTTTAGTGGTTTGACTCCTTTCTCACAGATCGAAAGTTTCTTGGACACATGCTCTTCAAAGATTCATGGCATTAAAGGTGGTGTGCCCCAAGGCTCAATTTTGGGCCCCATACTATTTAATTTATATATGCTTCCACTAGGAGATGTCATCAGGAGGCATGGTATCACTTTTCACAGCTATGCTGATGACACACAGCTCTACATAGCCATGTCTCCTGATGACACAGGGCCAATTGTTGCCCTTTTTAGCTGTATCCTAGACATTAAATTCTGGATGGCAGAAAACTTCCTACAGCTCAACCAGGACAAAACTGAGGTTTTAATTATCGATCCTAAGGCTCAGGGGGAGAAACTTTTAACAAAACTGAAAACCCTGTCTTTAATTCCATCAAATCAGGTAAAGAATCTGGGCATCATCTTTGACTCTGAGCTGACTTTTATCCCACAAATTAAAAACATAACGAAAACAGGATTTTATCATTTAAAGAATATAGCTAGAGTCTGCCCCTTTCTCTCCCGGGCTAACACAGAGACGCTAATGCATGCTTTTATCTCCAGTCGTCTTGACCATTGTAACGCCCTGATTTCTTGTTTTCCAAAAAGAAACATTGCAAGTTTACAACTGTTGCAAAACTCAGCGGGCACATATTACACCGTTTTTAAAATCACTGCATTGGCTCCCTGTGTGCTTTAGGATTGATTTTAAGGTCCTTTTAATGGTTTTTAAATGTCTTAGGGGTCTTGGACCTTCTTATCTTTCAGAACTGCTTTTACAATATGAACCCTCGCGGACCCTGAGATCCTCTGGCACTGGCCTTTTAATAGTCCCCAAAGTGAGAACACAAACTTACGTTAAGGCATCTTTCCAGCACTATGGCCCCCGTCTTTGGAATAGCCTGCCGGAGGACCTTAGGGCCTGCATAGAACGTTCACATTTTTAAAAATCACTTAAACTCTGCCTCGTGCAACTGAGCGTCTGCCTAAGTCATCATTTCAGGGTTAATCATTTAACAGTACACATGTTTACATTCAACACTCATGCCACACACAGACTGCATAGTGGCCACAGTTTGCTCTCTGGTAGAAGACTGTCATATCAGATGGACTATTTTTTTAAGATAAGTCATGGTCAACAAGCACAAATATGCTAAGTCTTTGTTCTGTATCAAGTGCCACACAAGTGGCAACATGACGTCCAGATAAAAAAAAAACATATCTTGAGACGTGATTGTTGGACATGAGCACAGCCCACTAATGATGATAAAATGACATGTTGTGCAGCAATTTTTCTTATGCACCCTGTAATTCAATGTTTTCACTCTATATAAGTCATCTGAGTGAACGGACAGGATTCCCTGTGGAGAGTTTGACAACTTGTGTTGGTATGCAGCACTGTTTTTACTGTGGGTTTCTTTGTTTTGTCATCATGTACAAGGAAACAAAAGGCCCAAACTCAGTGCAAGCAGAACTCCCCCCCCCCGTATTATTCCTGCTGTCTGCTGATCAACAACTGCAATGCACAAAGAAAGCGGGAGAATCAAAGGAGGTAGCTATGCAATGCAAAATTGAAAACATTAGAAAAATCATCTTTGTAAATATTTTTCAAAGGGGAACAGTTTTGAAAAAATTTGTAAGACATCGAGGATACATTTGTGGTTTTATGTTTTTTGGCCTTGCCAGACTCTGCCTTGATACATGATCCAAATACACAGCATGAGCAAGGTTTGAAGGCTGAAAGTGGAAAAACTCAAAAAGAAAAAAAAAAAAAAGATTTTAGATGTCAAATGTGAACTTTAAAGGAAAAACACAAAAAAAATAGGTAGAGAGAGAATGGAGAAAGCTTTGAATATTATCCGTCTTACCTTCAGACAAAAGGGACAAAATAAGAATCTGTTAAAAAATAACGTATGCAGAGTAGGAAGTACAGACCATATTTCAGACACAAGAATTTATAATAAAAAAAGATTTTAAAAAAACTCTTAAATTTTACAATAGATAGCAAGATAGAGAAAGAAAGAAAGTTAGGAGCATGAACGAGTTGTCAGTATCAGAAAGAAAATCACACCTTTGGGAAATAACATCAGACACCAGTGTCGTGGAGCGTCATAGTGCAGAGTTCACTTTAATTAAGGTGGTATTAAAAGCCATGCGGCTGTAAGTTTAAGTCCTTGACAAACAGCTAAATAGTACAGTGACATCAGGGAGTGCCAGATGCTCACTAAACATTCCCGGGTAGCACCCCCCCCCCGTTGTGGGAGGTCTCCACATAAGACAAGATGCAAATTGAACTGAGACAAGTGCAGGATCTGTGCAGCATGTCATCTTTTGGCTTGGGCTGGTTCGTGAGCACGATATGGATCCCAGCCAGTCTTGTGATGCTCTTGCATGCCAATGACTCTGTAACTACAGCTAAAGCTTTAAGATAGACTCCTAAGAGAGTTGGCTTGATTAAAACATCTCTCAATCACATCTTCACCATAATTAAAATGTCATTTGAGCAATCACCACAGAATTTTTGAATAACATGTATCAATGAATGCACCGTATCCCATAAGTGACGATAAACATGTAGGCAATGACAATTGTAGAGCCTTCACCACCAAGTTCTCAGAATCAGATTCAGGCGTCAGTGGAGCTGAAATGGAGCTGATATGCACAGGAATGTTTATATCCTAGCGTATACACATGTATACTCTTGGTATTAACATGAATACTGACCCTGAAGGGACAGTGTAATGAATTTAAGTTTTCATAAAAAATCTTACATTAGTGATTAGAATGAGCCCTTTATATCTACATAGATGTGGGTCAACTTCATTAGAGGTCACTATCTTGCACCATCATATCACAAACAAGGTTTTTGTGTGGCCATGTGAAGGGTGCTCACAGACAAAGAAGACAGAAAGAAAATAATTTGTATTTATGGATGTTTAGGGTGGTAAGAAGTAAACATTGATTGATTGAACAATTGTATACATTTACATCAGTGGCGGCTGC